TTTGCCTGGAAGTTATAGACCTGTGAGCTTAACTTCTGTGGCTGGTAAAATATTTGAAAGGTTATTAAGGGATAATATTCAAGAATTCCTTGAGAAGAACATGGCTATCAGCAAAAATCAGCACGGTTTTATGAAGCACAGGTCATGTCTAACTTGATTGCGTTCTACGAAGAAGTAAGCAGAAGTATAGATCAGGGTGTTGCCGTGGATGTGATCTATTTGGATTTTGCCAAGGCATTTGATACAGTTCCACACAATAGATTAGTGTTCAAACTCAAGGAAATCGGTCTAGATGAAAATGCTTGTTCTTGGGTAGAACATTGGCTTAAAAACAGAGTACAAAGAGTTGTCATTAATGGTAAATTTTCAAGCTGGACAGAGGTGGCAAGTGGTGTCCCTCAGGGGTCTGTTCTGGGACCCCTTCTATTTAACATGTTTATAAATAATCTTGAAGACCGCATTGAAAGTCGGTTTAGGAATGTTCGGTTGAAAAAGTGTCCGTTTTGAGTTCCATGAAATAATCGTCGAACACCGCTGGGCTTTCGCATAGTCAAAATGGCAGCCGCCTCGTGGTCGACATCCGAACAATGACCACCCGGTATTCGGTTTTAATTGAGAAGTGTCTGTGGTTAACCGCAACGTTCTAATTGGGATCAATAGGTTAACCACAGACACTGGTTAACCACTTCTCTTCTGGGTGGCCTGCCGTTTGGTAGTTCTGTTCGACAAAAAAATACATTCCCTTAAACGAGGCATACAAATGGGGAAATTCATGCAAACGGCAAAACAGACGAAGACAGTACTTTTAGTCCATACAGATGGGTCTGTCACAATGCCCAAAACTTAAAGAAAGCATAGCTGGACTTACAAAGAGAGATGGAGAGATGGTGCAGGATGGAACTCTGATGGCTAGGGAGAATTGCTTCTATTAAAATGTCCATTCTTCCTAAAATGTTATATTACTTTAGGACTTTTCCCTTTATCCATACCATTATCCTTTTTTAATAAAATACATTCAGTTATTGTAACGATATCCTGTTTTAAACAGACTCAGAGAAACAGCATTTCGGTTATTTATTCGTATGTGTGGCTATTTCGTGCAATTGCAATAAAGCGAACAAACTACTGAATCACCCGACCTCCCATTGAGGTCGTGTGCAGCTCATTTACCGTCCAGACCTTGCGGTTAACCGTAGGGTAATTGAGGAAAGGCTTGGTGGTCCATGTTCGTTTGCAGACCACGTGGCGGTTGCCATTTTAAATTTTCGAACGCTCAGCGGTAGATGGCGGTGATTCTCTGGAACTATTTTCGGACACTTATTTAGCAGAACACCGTTGGCGCATACCATGTTCCCCGTTCATACGGCTAAAAACTCACAAATACCTGGAACACTTTACCGTTCGGGACTTTTATACTATACGAGATAGACCGACTCCAGGTAGCTACAGTTCTGGAACTCTTTGCGGATGCAATCTCGCAAACAACCGGTGAATTAAAACTTAATTCGCTCAAAATCAGCAAGGTACCCATCAATCTCCCCAATCCCCAATCTCCCGGTAA